ATCTCCCCATCCCAAAATCCTTAACTTAATCAAAATCCCTTTACCATGTAATATAATATTCACAGGTTCTGGGGATTAGGACACGACTATCTTTTCAGTGGTGATGAGTATTCTTCTGCCTACTACAGCATCTACTAACTACCTCACACTTTCTGGGGCAGCAGCAATTATCATCACCACCTCCATTTTACAGATGAAGAACTGAGACCCAGAACATGGAGTAACTTTCTTGAGGTCATAAAGCTAGTAAGAGGCAAAGTATTCAAACCCAGTTCAAGCACTTTTAATCGTTACAATATTCTGCCTTTTGGGATCTTAGTATATAGGCAAAAAATTATTAATTGAATTTGAATCCTGGGAAGAGGATTAGAAATGAATGTTTGAGGTTAATGAAGTAACTAAGGTGTAGATATTGGGGTTTTTGGTGAGGTGGGGATATAAGCATGAAACTGCAGGCCATAAAGAATTTAGGGGAAGTGGCAAAATGTGTCTCTCTTTCATCTCCATGAATAGTCACTAATATCTGGCTTGCAGGCCCTCTGCCATTTGCAATGTACTTTCCAGCATCTGTTTCATTAATAATAAGATCTTGAGAGGTTTTTATTCTCCATTATTTGATGGCTGGGAAAACTGCACCCACATCTGAGTGTGAGTTGACTCCAAAATCAAGGCATCCCTCTTTCTTACCAGCCAACGATATGGTGACCGTGGCAGGATGCCAGCCCCAACTACCCCCACGGCCCAGGACAAAAGGTCCTCCAAAGCATTTGAATGTGCCAGTGCTCAAGGAATAACTTGACCCTAACCTGAATGTTCCAGACGTAGGTGTCTGGTTATTAAGGCTCACTTTAAGTTCAATCATTGTCTTGAGCCACCCCCAAAATATTTTCTATTAATATCCATGGCTTGATCCATGTAGACTCATTAACATTCCAGAATCCCAGTTCAGGGGCCGGCCCCGTGGCGTAGCGGTTAAGTGCACACGCTCTGCTGTTGGCGGCCCGGGTTCGGATCCCAGGCGCTCACTGAGGCACCGCTTGTCAGGCCATGCTGTGGCGGCGTCCCATATAAAGTGGAGGAAGATAGGCACAGATGTTAGCCCAGGGCCAGTCTTCCTCAGCAAAAAGAGGAGGATTGGCAGATGTTAGCTCAGGGTTGATCTTCCTCACAAAAAAAAAAAAAAAAGAAAGAAAGAAAGACAGAATCCCAGTTCATATCAACTCCTTGGGATTTCACAGAATCCTTTATGGCACAAAGAAGCAAGCCATGAAAACATCTGGGTGGGACGGGGAGCATCCCAGGTGGAGAAAGGAGCACATGCAAAGGCCCTGAGGTGTAACCAAGCTCGGTTTGTGCAAGAAACATTAGAAAGGCTAGTGTAGCTGGGGCAGATCAAGGGAGGGGAAGAGCGATGAGGAATGAGCTTCGAGGGGAAGGGCATGGTATGGACTATGGATTTTATTATAAGCGTGATAGAGAATTTTGAATTAATGAATGCCACTTCTCCCCCACTTTAATCCCTCGAATGGTTTCCAGTTGCATTTAGAATATAGGACAGGCTCTGCATGGTTCAGCCCCATCCATCTCACCACGTATCTCTCTGGTCTCACTCCTCCTTGCTCATAGTCCCGGACATGCTGGTTCCACTTGTTCTCGGACACATCTAGCTCTTTTCCAACTCGAGCCCTTCTCATATCCACTTCTTCTGCCTGGATGAGCTCCACACACCGCAGTTCCCCTCATCTCTACTCATCCTTCTCTTCCTCCAGGTCTCAGTTCACCCGTCATTTTCTCAGAGGAGCCTCCCCATCAAAAGCCACCTTGCCCAGTCAGAACAGCCTCTGTTCTCCTCCTTCATGGCAATGATCACAACTAAGAGTTATATCCTTGTCTCTGGTTTATTCACATTGTGTCTGTCTTCTTCTTAGACTGTCAGCCCTATGATGGCAGGGACCACGCCTGTTTCACACAATGCTGAACGCTCATCATCTAGCCCTGCACCCCACACGTTGTAAGTGCTCAAGAAATATTTGGTTCTGAATGAATGCATAAAAGCATTCAGGAGAGATCCTCTCAGCAGCCTTGTGAGAATAGACTGGACAGGGAGAGACTGCAGGCCAGGATATCCATGAGGGGCACGCAACAAATGCAAAAAGCTTGATTTTGTCATTAATAGCAAAGACAAAGGACTGGATGCAAGAGCCATTCAGAAAGTAGAATCAACTGGATTTGACGACTGATAGGGTACAGGGAGGAGACGGGGGAGCAAAGCTTTGCTCTTGGGGTGATAACTTAAGAGATTGGGAAGAACATTGTCTTCGTCCTTTTGGGCTGCTATAACAAAAATACCACAGACTGGGTGGCTTATAAATAGCAGAAATTTATTTCTCATGGTTCTGGAGGATGGGAAGTCCAGGATCACAGTGCCAGCAGATTAAGTGTCTGGTAAGGACCCGCTTCCTCACAGACTGTCATCATCTCACTGTGTCCTCACATGATGGAAGGGGCAAGGGAGCTCCAGGGGGTCCCTTTTACAAGGGCACTAATCCCATTCAGGAGAGCTCTACCCTCATGACCTAATCACCTCTCCAATGCTCCAGCTCCCAATGCCATCACCTTGCAGGGTTAGGATTTCAGCACATGGATTTTGAGGGGACACAAACATTCAGACCACAGGAAAGTACAATTAAATTAAGTAATGTGTGTGTAGAGGGGGAGAAAAATAGGATATTCTGGGATGCACATCAAAAGCCAAAGCTTGGAATTTGAGGTGTCTAAGGGGCATCTAGACGGACAGTCCAGGAGGCAGTTGAAAATACAATTCTGACACTCAGAAGTGAAGTTTGGATGGAGATGTTTGTTATGAACAATGATGCTCTTTTAGGTCCTATTTATGGAGGACTTAGCACACCTTAGGTCCCATGCTAAGCCTAGAGGCAGGATAGTACAGCAGCTAAGAGCCAGTTTCTAAAGTTAGATTGTCCAGGTTCAGCTAGGAGCTCACCCACTTACAAGGTTTGCGATCCCCAGCAAGGTGCCTAAGCTTTCTGTGCCTCAGGTTCCCCATCTGTGCAATGGGGGTAATAATAGTACCTACCACTTTGGGCTACTATCAGGATTATAATGAACTTAGAATAATAATGTGTTGCACTCAATGAATATTTGTTATTTTTTATGATCTCAGTTAATCACCACAACAAGCCTAAATGGTTGATAGGGTTAGTATCCTCATTTTTTTTTTTCAGATGATGCAGCTGAGGTTTGGAGAATTTAAGTAACTTCCCCAAGGTCACCCAGGTGGTCAATGGTGGAGCCAAGATTTGAACCCAGACCACCCAGCCTCCACAGTCAAATGTGGGTCCAACTCCAGAGTCTGAACCACCAGCCAGAGTTAGAGTCCAATGCAGGTAGGCAGAGAATGAGACATCACTCAGGAAAAGCATGTCTGAGGCATGGTGCTGTGGTTAAGAAAACAAGAGAAATCAGAAGGATGCTGCCATATGTGGCAGGAGAGCCAAGCACTGAAAGGTCTATTTCTGCCACTCAGGTGCTCAGTGGCACCACCTACCTCTTGGAGGATCTGAATCAATGGCCTTGGGATTTTGATTCCCAGCCCATTACCTGGATTGGGATGATTATCTAAGAGTTGGTGCCATCTGATATCGCCCCTGAGCTGCCCTGCCTGTTGCCCTAATTATTCATAAACACAACTAACAATTTACAATTGAAAAGCACTCTCACATCGGGATCCAATTGGACCGTCATGGCCACCCTGAGAGGCAGGAATTATTAGCCTACACTCTGCAGGTGAGGAAACAAAGGTCCGTAAAGGGGAAGTGGTTCATGGAGCTTAAGAACACTGACACAGGTATAGACAGGTCTGCAGTTGAATCTGAGATCTGTCACTTACCACCTGTGGTCCTTGGGTAAATTACTTAACCTCCCAGATCTCAGTTTCCCTCTTCTGTAGAATGGGGATGATCATGCCTGCTCGTTAGGTTGTTGGAAAGAGTTAATCGGATTGTGGATAAAAAATTTAGGGGCCGGCCCGGTGGCGCAAGCAGTTAGGTGCGCGCGCTCTGCTGCAGCGGCCCGGGATTTGCCGGTTCGGATCCCGGGCGCGCACCGATGCACCGTTTGTCAAGCCATGCTGTGGCAGCGTCCCATATAAAGTGGAGGAAGATAGGCACAGATGTTAGCCCAGGGCCAGTCTTCCTCAGCAAAAAAAGAGGAGGATTGGCAGATGTCAGCACAGGGCTGATCCTCCTCACAAAAAATAAAAAAATAAAAAAAAAATTTAGACTACCCGGCATACAGTAGGTGCTCAAAAACTGGTAGCCAGTAGTAGAAGTGGTAATAGTGGCTGAGTCTCAAGTCAAACCCAGATCACCAATTCCAAACACTGAGTTGTTGTTCCTGCTGAGAAGGTGTATGTAGGTGTCATTAAGGAAGTGGCATGAAGGCAAATAGAGCGCCTAGAAATTATGGTTGATGAGGATAGTAGATGCTGATTGTTAAGGTATTTTAATATCCAGCCAAGGAGATGGGTGTGATCCATGAGGAGGGTTTTAGGCCATAGGTAAGGTTCCCATGATGAGTAGAGCCTTTGGAGCCATTTATGTGGGTTAGAATCCTGCCATTTCCCTGTGTAACCAACTTAGGTGGATTACCTGGCTTCGCTGAGCCTCAATTTCCTCATCCATAAAATGGGGATTAAAAATATCTATCACTTGATTTGTGAGAACTATGTGGCATCTTAGTGTCTGGCCTGCAATATAGTAAGTGCTCGACAAATGCTACATCTCTCCTTTCCATCACACATTCCCCTCCACAATGACAGTATATATATATATATATATTTTTTAATGCAAGAATAAGTTATTCTTTTTCTTTCTAGGGATAGAAAGAAAAATGGCATGCATGGCATCAAACGTGGGAGTTAGTGGAAGAGGAAGGGGACCCTCTGAAACAAAATTTTTGTCTTCCTTTGGTCCAGAAAGAAGAGGCCAGCCAAGATGAACCAATGGTCCAGTTGCCTGTTGGGATGGATGACCTTCTTCCTCTACTCCTATGAGACAAGTGGAAGTGAGTATACTGGAAAATGATGGGGAGGATTTGGAAACGGGAAAGAACGAATAAGCTGAAGTAAATATTCCTGGATCCAAGTATGGAGGAGACGGCTTAGTAGAAATCTCAGATGGAGTTGGGGTTTGGACCCTGAATCTGTCACTTTTTCTCTGTGTGATCTTAGTCAAGCCATGTAGCCTCTCTGAGTCAATTCTCAACCCGCGAAAGAGGAATAATGGCGTTTACCTCATGGGGCTATTTTGAAAATTAAATGAAATAATGGACATGAGCTTCTGTCATAATGCTCAGCACATGGTGGGGGGGGGTGGGAATATGTCAATTAAAAAGGGGCGGCTCTATAATTCCAATAGACTGAACCCTCAAACCCCCAACTTGGACACTCCCTTTACACTCTTTTTTTTTAAATTGTGGTAAAATACACACAACGTAAAATTTACTGTCTTAACCATTTTTAAGTGTACAGTTCGGTAGTGTTAAATACATTCACATTGTTGTGCAACCAATAACCAGCACTCTTTTCATTTTGTAAAACTAAAACTCTGTATCCATTAAACCACTCTCATTCCCCCCTCCCTCTAGCTCCCAGCATCCACCATTCTACTTCCGGTTTCTATGAATTTTGCTACTTTAGATGCCTCATACAAGTGGAATCATACAGTATTTGTCTTTTTGTCACTGGCTTATTTCACTTAGCATAATGTCCTCCGGGTTCACCCATGTTCCACCACGTGTCAGAATTTTCCTCCATTTTAAGGCTGAATAACATTCCCTCGTACGGATATACCACATTTTGTTTACCCATTCATCCATCTGAGGACACTTGGATTGTTTCCACATTTTGGCTATTGTGAATAAGGCTGTCATGAACACGGATGTTACAAATATCTCTTTGAGAGTCTGTTTTCAATTCTTTTGGGTGTATCACCAGAAGTCGAATTGCTGGATCATATGGTAATTCTATTTTTAATTTTTTGGGAAACTGGCATACCATTTTCCATAGAAGCTATACCATTTTACATTCCCATCAACAGTGCACGAGAACTCCAATTTCTCCACATCCTTGCCAACACTTGTTATTTCCTGCTTTTTTTCACAGTAGCCGTTCTAGTGGGTGAGAGGTCACATTCTTGATGTATCTAGGAATCTAAATTTACCATCCAAAGATTGTATGGTGAGCATGGAAGCAAAACAAAGAGAGACCTTGATTATACGTAGTTCACTCAAGCTATGGCGAAACATTCTCCACAATTAGAATCCTTTTCTGCCTGTCAAGCCTTTTACCCTTGGGTAAAAGGCTCAAGAAACACTTCCATATTCATGAACTTTGATTTCATGAAGTCCGTTTTCAATGGTCATGTTCTATATTCCAGAAATTCCTAACTTGGGGTCACTGGGCATGCCCCAGAGTCCATGAAACCCTGGATTGGTATTAAAAAAGTGTTATACAATGTTATAAACCAATGTTACTGCAATAAACAAAAAATTAAAAAAAAAAAAAAGAAGGATTATGTGAGAGCAGGGAGGAAAGCCTGTTCCTGGATTGATTTCTGGGATTCTGTGCCTCTTTCCCATTGAGTGTCTTCCAATTATGGATTTATATTTCCCTAGTATGGCTTTTATTGTAATCCAGTTGCACAAATCCACTGAGATGTTGGAATTTCCACCATAAGTAACATCAGGGTAGGCCCAGACCCATCTGGGCACAAAGCATTGCTGTCCCATGGAATATATGGGGTTACAGGAGCCCTACAATGGGAGTTTACAGATCCTCAATAAGATTAGGATCATCGGTGAGATGTATTGAACAGAACACAAGCTTTAGCTTTGGAAGAGAGAGATGGAGTAACTGAGCCTGAGACAGGTTCCCCAAAGTTATGCAGGAAGTAAGTGAGCAAACTTAGACTTGAACTTAATAAAGATATCTGCCCTTTATCTTTCACAGGTTAATTAATGAGATAATACACGGAAAGAGTATTTGTAAACTTCAAAAGACTACACCAAGTTAAGTTGTTGTTTTAGGAATAAAAATATAGCATGGCTTCAAAAAATAAATAAATAAATAAAAATTAAATAAATAAATAAATAAAAAGGTGTGTATTTATCAGGATAGTGAGAATAACTACTGTTACAAACTCCAAACTACCATCAGTTTAACACAATAACATTTTATTTCTTGGTCCTACAAAGTCCAGTGAGGATGCACCTGGTCAGGAGGAACTCCAGCTCCTTCCATCATGCAGCTCCATGCTCCCCTGGGGCTTCAGAGTGCTCTGTGAATTCTTTGCTTTTAGCTAATAGACAAGGATCAAGAGAGTCTGGAGGATCTTGGAGGAGAGTTTTTCGGTCAGGCCAGGAAGTGACATACATCACTTCCTCCCACTTCCACTGGCCAGAACTCATATGATGCTTAACTGCAAGGGAGCCTGGGTAATGTAGTTTAGCAGTGTGTTTGGGAGGAAAATGAAGCCGGCTTTGGTGGACACACAGCTGTCTCTACCACAAAGGTAAACAAGCATTTTCCTAGAAAGAAGATCTGGGTACTCAAAACAACTGACAAGTTCCTAGCAGGTTAAGAACCCACAGTTTATCAGACAGGGAATAATGTACTTGACTGAGCATCAACTCTTCTAGTTCTTGTTTCATTCTGATCACATCTGCCTTAGACCACACCCACATTCCTGTGGTGAAACTGGGTGTCTCCAAGTCCCCTCCACACATATTTACAGACAGGTTTATTCAATACACACTTATTGAGTGATTCCTAAGCGCCAGGCACTGTGCTATGGGCCAGAAACAACAATAAATGAAACCCAGTCCCGACACTCAGAGACCTCACAGTGAATGGGAGTGATAGATACGTAAAAAGATAATTATATTCTTTAAAACATTAGTAAGTACATTTATAGAGATCAGCTCAGAGTATTATATGTGTGAAGAAGAGTATGAATCCAGACTGATCCAAGTCTTCATGGATGAGTAGCCGGGGGTAAAGCTAGGAAGAGAGCAAAGGCTTCGGGGACAGGATGAAGGCCACCAGCAAAACCCCAAAGACAAGAAAGAACGTGGAGTAAGGTCAAGGAAATGTTAATCAGGCAGTGAGAACAGAGAGGTCAGCAGGGCACCGATTATGGAGGATTTTAACCCAGTTAAGAAGCTTAGACCATCTGCTGGATTACTTTGCAGATGGCTAATAGTATCTATTATGTGTTGATTCTTACTAACGACTCCCACGGATAACCTTAATTCTATGGACAGGGAGCATCTGCCTGCCCTCCCCCTCACCACCAACATCCCATGTACTCAATGGTGTCCATGACTGAGGAGAATCATTGATGCTGCTGCTGCTGATGATGATGATGGTGATGATGATGATGATGGTGATGATGATGATGATGATGGTGATGATGATAGCTAACGTTCGTTGAGTAGCAGCCAGGCTCCAGGTTCCCTTCTAAGCACTTTCCAGCTATTAACTGGTTTAAACTTTACAAAACCAAGACCAAACTGTTCTGAGACCCAGAGGTGGAAAATGCAATGTTACTTAAGGATGCCTAATGGCATCAACCCTTTGGTGAGGCCCAAAGATGGAGGTCTGCCTTTTTCACCCTCTCCCAACCCATCTCTCATCTCTGTCATAGCCTTTGATAGATTTACAGGGTAAGAATCTGATCCAGAACAACAATGGAGCTACTAGGTCCTAGGCCTTGAACACAGAGACCGTGTCTTGTCCATCTATGTTAGTAATGGATGATCTGTTGTAACAAACAACTCCCAAATGTCAGTGGCTAAACTCAACAGAGGTTCATGTCAAATTCGTCAAACACTTCAGTGTGGATGTTTGACGGGAAGCCTCTTTCTTTTATTGTGATTAAGAGACACAGGATCCTTCTGTTTTGTGGCTTCCCCATCCCCTAGGGCCTCAGCATTCTCTGTAGGGTCCCCTTTACCAGAATTTCTCAACCTTGGCACCTGAGGCTGGATGACTCTTTGTTCTGGAGGGCACAGGGAAGATGTTTAGCAACATCCTTGGCCTCTCTCCAGTAGCTACCAGTAGCACAGCTAACACTTCCTGCCTCCCAGTTGTAACAACCAAAATGTCTCCAAACATTGTCTAATGTGCCCTGGGGGATCATAGTTGCCCCTTCTTCTCCAATGAGAACCACTCCTCTATATCCAATTGGCAGACAGAGGAAGAAAGGAGCATGGAGGATTGCTTGGGACTTTTTCTCAAGCCAGGAAATGGTGAACATCATATCCACCAACGTTCTATGAGTCCTAAATTAGTCACATGGCCCCACCTAACTATGAGAGAGGCTGAAAGTGCATTCTAGCTATGAGCCCAGAAAGAAAAGGAAGCTGGGTTTGGTGAGTACACGGAAGCTTTGCCTCACCATCTTTGTACATGAGCAAACACATGGGCACACACATGTACATACATGTATGAAGATAAGTATGTACACACACGTGCTCACACACAAACAACCTATCAGAGTATTTTACTCATAATAGTCCATCGTTATATTTTTGAGGGAAGGAGTGGGTGAGGAAAGGAGGAATAGGCAGGAGATAGCAAGATGAAAACAAGGAGAGAAGCTGTGATCCTGGACTAGTAGATGAAAAATCCAAGCTTTCACCTAATTCTGCTCCCAAACCGTTTCCTTGTCTTACGTGGATCTTCGTTTCCTTCTCCACAAAATGAAGAATCAGGCTAGAACAGCATTTCTTAAGATGTGTTTCAGGGACCATTAGTCTCTAGTGCTATTGAGTAGTGGGAAAAAAAGGAACAATTTAATATACTCTATACCACACTTTCTAATTCAATTCTTATTTGCATATTGACCCTTCTGATGAGTCCTTTCTTAAAGAAACCTGTTTAACTTTATTTCACATGGCATTTTCCAAACTTATTTTATTCTGTCAGTTATTTCTTTAGCATCTGCTATGAGCAAGTCATTATTCTAGGTTCCAAGGATACAGTGCGTAAAAGACAAAGTCCCTGACCTGATACAGAAGAATAAAAAGATTAAGGGTTGTGTTTCCTAAACTTGACTCATCCAAGTACCACTCTCTCAGTCTTTGCCACATCTGCATGCCACCAGCACTCAACATATTTCTTTAAATGTGCTCACTTTTCTTCACTTTAATACATTTATTTTAAAAGAATGGTTCACATCAGCTCTGTAATCTATAAAAGCACTACTGCTTGCCATAAGTAGGAAGTGCAAATAAAAATAAACACTATGAAAATGAAATCCTATTTTTAAATTCTACTAGATTCTATTGTCCAAATCAGGTTTGGGCCTGAGTCCTGCCCTCTTTTTTGTTTAAAAGGGAGATTATTATTGGAGATATGGTAGAGAAATACTAGCATTCAATTGAAGCTTTCTCTTTTGTGTAATCAGAGGGATTAAAAAAAGCATTGAAAAAGGATATTGTTTTTCAGTCTGTGTTTCAAAACTATTTAATATGTGTCCCTACATAACGTAATGTGAGCTTGTGATCCACCAAATGTATCTCGTGTGGCATTAGTGGTTCTACTCTGACAAACTGTGGTCTGGAGGAACAGTATATCTTGGATGCCTTCATTGTTTATGAATTTCTCCCCCGAATATTCTTGGTCCAAACATAAACTAGATTCGACATTATGTGCCATAAGGAAGTTGGATGCTAAGACTACATGTGTAGCCTTCAGACCACCACGAGAACCAAACCAAGACTCGTCCTGGGCTTATTTGTTGTGACTAATCCTCTCCTGTTTTGTCCTTCTGCCCTTCAGATAAGAAAGATGCCTGCATCTTTCCTTTCATCTACAAGGGGTCTACTTACTTCTCTTGCACCAGAACCAATAGCTTCTCCCCTTGGTGTGCAACTAGAGCAGTTTATGATGGACAATGGAAGACTTGCGTGACAGAAGGTGAGTGGTGCCACATTGTCCCATCAGCAGGTTTCTTGAAAGGATGGATTACAAAAGAGAATGTGTGAATGTGTATAATGTGATCATATTTTTGCAGGCAAGTTATAATGTGTATGTGTGCATGGAAAATGCTCAGGGAGGCCAAACACCAAATGTTAATAACAGATAATAATGTTAACAATGATGGTGTTAAAAATGGTGCTCTCTGAATGAAGGTATTGTGAGACCAGTCAACCAGAGGGAACCATTGTATTCTTTCTCTCTTTCTTTTTTTTTTAACAATTAATATTCCTAAGACTTTCACTTTTTCTCTTCTTTTTTTTTTTTGAGGAAGATTTGCCCTGCACTAACATCTCTTTCCAATCTTCCTCTTTTTCTTTTTTCTGCCCAAAGCCCCAGTACATAGTTGTATATCATAGTTGTAGAATTGTAGCTCTTCTATGTGGCACACTGTCTCAGCATGGCTTGATGAGTGGTGAGTAGGTCTGCGCCCAGGATCCAAATCAGAGAACCCTGGGCCACCGAAGCAGAAGGCGCAAACTTAACCGCTATGCCACCAGGCTGGCCCCTATTTCTAAATTTCCTAAATTAATAAGGAAAAAAGAAACAAAGTATAAAAGAAAATGTATTTTCTTTTCTCAAAGCCCAAGACATTTTTGACAATTATATGATTTCTATTTTTTGTGCAGAGGACAAGAGACATTTAATTTGTTTTAAACAATATCCTATTGTTAGACATTTAAATTATTCCTACTAGTATCCAGTTTTTGAATATTTAGAATTTACTTTTCCCTGGTATCAATGTTCTTGACTGTCTTTGATCAAAGGCCCTCCTTTTATAATAAATATAATATAACATCCCTTTTACTATCCTGAAATGAAATTTATAAATAACTTACTTATCTGCATTCATAATTTCAAAATAAATCAACATAGTTTCTCAACTGCAATATAAGACATAAATAAAATGAAAGAAATTGATAATAAAGTAATAAGCATGCATGACCATAACTAACCTAAAAGACATTAAAAAGTAGCTAGAGGCCTGTACCTCTAGGCAGAATCTCTTTGATTACAAGAGCTGAAAATGCCTATGAAATAAACCCCCATACACTGAAGGAAACAAAACCAAAGCTGGAAGCAATACTACCTCTGCAACAAACAAAAAATTTAAAAAATAAATAAATAAATAAATAAACACTTTCACATTTAAAAAAAAAAAAATACTACCTCTGTTGAAAATTCCCCTCCAGTTCAAACAGTGCAAATCAAGATCAACTGGTTGAAATTGAATTAGAAAATTAGAAATAGACATTTTGTTTTTTTGATTCTGGAAAAGAGTCCTCAAACATGCTTAAGACATACAAAAGGGAGCAAAACTCGGCCGAAAGTGTATATACAGACACAGTCATGATATTTATTTCCACTATATCATTGCTCTGAACAAAAAGAGTTCAACAACCTGCTTTCAATTAAACCTCTTTCAGCCAAATCATCTAGGGCTCCTGTTTAGATGAAGGTTTGCCTTTTGAGTCTCTTCCTTTGGCTCTGGTTTCTGAACCAAGTACTGCTCTTTGGACTCCTAACTGGCAGCTTCCTCACTACCTCTGAACAGCTGTAACATCTTAGCCTTACACCACAACAGTGGGTAAGTGGTGTTGCATGGGCATTCCCAAATATTGCCTTGTAGGATGTTCCTCCTCAGTCTTACCTCATGAACAGAATAGTGAAATCGAAAACAGGCATCTATATGACTATCCCCAGAGGCACTAGTTTAAGATAATTTATATAACTGGAAATATACAGCGATGCAGAGGCTTTTTTGCTAATCTGCAGGCTTCGTCAGTAAGGACGAGAGGCCACCGCTGCACAAACAAGAAAAGTAGTCATCCCTTCTTGTTCTTCTTTCCCTCTCACCCCACATCTAAGCCACCAACCAGCCTATTAGCTCTGCCTTCAAAATAGACCCAAACTTCAGCCTCTTCCTGTCTTTCCACTGCTTACACCCTTCTCCAAATCACCATCAACTCTTTGCCTGAAAAATTTGCTAACTGTTCTCCCCAAATCCCCTCACTTCCCTCCAATCTATTCCCCACATATCAGCCAAAGTAACCTATTTAGAATGTGAAGTCAGGTAATGCCTCTCCCCTGCTCATGCCCCTCCATGGCTCACCACCACACTTAGAAGAATACCCTCACCCCCAAATAGCCAAAGCCATCTTGAGAAAGACAAACAAAGATGGAGGCATCACACTTCCTGATTTCAAACTATGTTACAAATGTGTAATAATCAAAACAGTACGTTACTGGCGTAAAAACAGACAGATCAGTGGAACAGAACAGAGAGCCCAGAAATAGACCCACACAAATATGGTCAATTAATTTATGACAAAGGAGCCAAGAATATACAGTGGAGAAAGGACAGTTTCTTCAATAAATGATGTTGGGAAAACTGGACAGCCACATGCAAAAGAATGAAACCGGACCCCTATCTTACACCGTACATAAAAATCAACCCAAAATGATTAAAGACTTGAATATGAGTCCTGAAACCATAAAACTCCCAGAAGAAAACATAGAGGTCCTTGACCTAGGTCTTGGTGATGATTGTTTGGATTTGACACCAAAAGCAAAGGCAACAAAAACAAAAATAAACAAGTGGGGCTACATCAAACTAAAAAGCTTCTGCACAGCAAAGGAAACCATCAACAAAATGTAAAGGCGACCTACGGGATGGGAGAAGATATTTGCAAAGAGTATATCTGAGAAGGGGTTAGTATCCAAAATACATAAAGAACTCATACAACTCAATAGAAAAAAAAAAAAAAGAAAAAGAAATCCCTTCATCTTGGTCTGCAAAGCTCTGCATGACGTCACTCTTCTCTGTTCTCATCTACTACCACTCCCGTCCTTGCCCACTGAGCTCCAGCTCCAGTGGTCGCTATGCTTCTCGAATATTCTAAACTCCTTCCTGTCTTGGATCTCTTTACATTTTTATTCCCTCTACTTGGAACTCACTCCCCCCAGATTTTTGCATATCATGCTTCTCCACAGCGTGTGGGTGTCTTCTCAAATGTCACCTACTCAAGGAAATCTTCCCTCACCCCTCCACCTATGACAGCCCCTCCATCACTCCCGAATGACCCTGATTCCTTCATTGCATGCGAGTAAATGCACCCACTGTAAACATAATGTCAGAAACTATATTTATTGTATTACATTTGCAGTGAGAAATTCAGTCTATTTATGGAAGCTGCAACAAGGCACCAGCACCCAGATGCTAACTTGACTATATTTGACTTCACTCACGTTAGACATTTTTTCTGTAATCTCAACATCTTTTCTTTGTATATCAAGATCTTGACATCATCTGTTGGTCATAAACCATCAAAATTTTTTGTCTTGACTTTGTTCCTACAGATCTTTTGGTGCTTATAGTAGATTTGTTTTTAAGACATTATATGAAGTATGTCAAGTGTGTACAACAGGTGGGGGCACCATAGGTTGAGACTGGGAACCTATTGGAGAAGCTTTGAGAATGAAAATACATGGTATAGGCTTTCCCACTAAATGCTTGATGAAATGAATATACAAAGTCTCTTCCAAACCTGATGTTTGTCCTGGTTGATTGATTGACTGGTTGACAATTAAATGTCCTGTGAATGACTAGAGAAAGTCAAACCCCTCATGGACTCCGTTCTGTACAGATTACCCACGCTGCATCTTCCCCTTCGTCTATCGAGGAAGGTCCCATTACAACTGCATCACGGAAGGCAGCTTGCTTGGAAAACTGTGGTGCTCTGTCACCTCCAGCTTTGATGAGAAGCAGCAGTGGAAATACTGTGAAATAAATGGTGAGGCATTGGACCAAGGATGGGGTGTTTAGTGGGGAGGAAGGTGGATGGCAATGATCCTCATGAGAGAATGGTGGCAGGGTGGAGAGCAGAGCAACCAGGAGAAATACTTCTAGGGACCAAGTGTCTTCTCAGAGCACACTATGACATCCACAAGAGACAAGAATGCCCTGAGGCCGTGTTCCCCCAAGTCCCCAAAGCCAGCATGAAAAACCCGTTGTCCTGAGAACTGAAACCATAGGCTGTAGTCCTGATATTGGTTTTCGAGTATTTCTGTTTCTAGAATTGACAATAACCAGATTCACCCAATGCCAAACCCTAAGTGCATTTCAACGCAGCTTAACATCTAACCTTAATTCTATGCCTACTCTTGATAATGATCTCCATTCATTCTAATGCTCTGTCTGTATTAGACTCTGATCCAGAAGCTCTATATACAATATCCCATTGAATCTTTCCATGGAAGCTCTATGAGATGTTACTTTTTCCCCATTCAGTAAATGGTCCCAGTAAAATTAAGTCCTGCCCAAGGTCACATTCCTAAGTAGTGTCAAGAGTTAGAATTTGAACTCAAGTCCAAATGGCTCAAAGCCCATGCTTTCTCTCCAAGTGTTGTTGCCTCCATAGAAATGAAAATACGTGCAAGGCACCTATCCATGAACATTCCTATTCCTGTATAAAATCCTAATTATGTTCTTCCCTTAGCACTCAAAAAATCCTCATGCCATGTAAAACCTTAATTTTATCCCTAGCCCTAGCCATCCACCACTTGCGTCCTTAACCCTAAACCAAATTTATCCTTAAATCTCACCATAACTCTGTCCCATTGCTCAACCTAATTTTTCATCCAAGTCCAACTCTTCCTCCGTCTCCACTCTTAACTCTAAATTCTATCAACACACATACAATCTTAGGCATTTAAAAATCCTAAACGAAATAGATGGATTAAGATATCAATTTTATGATAATATCATAACACTGTGTATAGTTCTAAATCCATCTCAAATCTTATTGTAACTTAACCCTAACCTTAATATCTAAACTTCTGTTTATCCTTCATGCTATCCAAGCTCCTCAGACCCAATTCTGATGGGCTGACAGATTAGAATTTGTATAAATCACCAAACAGATGCCCAGGAAAAGGTACTGGAAGAAAAGGGCCCCATTAGCTCTGGTTTCCCTCACTACAATGGGAGAGTTATTAAATCTCTTGGTCAGTTCTCTTACCTGCAAAATGAGGACTGACTTCAAGGGTTTTGTAAAGATTAGAGTTCACTTTCATAAAAGATCTATCATGTCTTGAACATTCCGCGTGCCTAAGAAATGTGAGCTCTCCTTCTTCCCTATCAGCTGATCCAGGAATCAAAACATGGGCTTTGAAGTTAGACCTGAGTTAGAATTCTGCTGTTGCCATTTAACAGCTGTGAGACTGGGCTCAAATGATAAAGACCATAATATAGTGGACTTTTAGTAAGCATTTGCTAAGTGCCAGGCATGGGTGTAAGAGCTTCACATGCAATAACTCATTTACCATTCACAACAACCCCTATGAGGTAAATCTGATTATTAGCTCCATTTTACAGACGGGAAAACTGAGGCTCATAGAGATTCAGTTGCTAAAGGGCAGAACTGTGATTTGATCCCAGGAAGTCTAATCTTTAGAAATCGTGCTCTTAATCACTGGTCGGTACTGCCTCTAAACCCTCACCCCCTTTGTCAAATTCTAACTCCTCCTAAAACACCATCAAAGCAGCTTATTTAATTAAGTAATGCTGAATTTATTGCCTACCAAAGTAAGGGAGATTACTACCTTGACACAGTCTTAATAGCATCTCGGAGGGAGGAGGGCAACGTTGGGATATTAATGAGGTCTTGGGGTCTTTCAATGTGGAATGTGATTAGGACTGGGTAACGATCATAATATAATTTTAGAATTATAAATATAATAAGAATATAATAAGTTTAGAATTTGTGGTCCTGGCAAGGTGAAATTTCTGAGAAGGATTCAAAGAGTCTTGAAGAGTAAACGGTCTTCTGATGCAATCTATTGAAAAGTTAAAAGATCTGATGTTTATTTAAATGATTTTTCAGGAAATTCCTGAGATGAACAATAAAGTCATTTGCATCTTTCACGTTCCTGGGCAGGATTTTCCCAAATTAGTAGAGACCTGTTGACGAAGCCCATGGAACAGTAGAGTCTTGTTTATGTAGACAGTAAACTGTGTGGGTATTGTTGGCTTTTGTTCTCACCATATTGCCTTTCACGCGATAAAGCATGGCACATCGTGTGTGATAAATGGAAGCCCTTTTCATTATCTCTCTTGACCTGTAATCTTTCCGCGATCATTTTCAGAGTATGGGGGAAATTCTTTCAGCAAGCCGTGCATCTTCCCGTCCATCTACAGAAATAATGTGATCTCTAAATGCATTGACGATGACAGCAACAAGCTCTGGTGCCCAACCACAGAGAACATGGATAAGGATGGAAAGTGGAGTCTCTGTGCCGACATCAGTAATCTGGGGCAGGGGATGGCTGGGTGTGGGTGGATTCCTTCATTCATTTACTCCAGCCCTACCGTGCACCACTGTGCTGGGCACTGAGGATAGGGTGGTGAATAAGACAGAGTCCTGCCCTGGTGGATCTGATGAACAAATAGCATAAACAGTGCAATACTGCGACAGGCAAAATACAACCTGCTTAAGATCCAAGAGAAAGGGGCCCATAGAAAATTTTCAAAATGTTAAACATTTAACACTCATACAAATATAGAGTAGGTACATGCTAAGGTTTTTAAAAATCTATTAATAAGGAAACTAGAAGGATAGTAAAACTAATTCAAAGGACGTTACAAGAAATATATATATATAGTCAGTGAAGAAAAGAATTCTGAGCTGAAGCATCTTGCTAAATTAGATACAAAAACTGTTAACAGCTAAAGGGCAATCAAACCTTTGGCATTATCTTGTCTACCAGACAGAAATTATTTGTATCTCCATTGCACAAAAGTTATTCACAATGTATCAATCTTCAGAAGGACCTGGTCGCCCACCTCTGAAAAAATGGGCCATGAAAACCCAATGAACAGCAGCAGAGCATTGTCTGATAGAGTGCCAGAAGGTGAGAGGATGACACAAAAAGACCGGGCAGGGTTCCACTTTGCTGTCCGCAGGGTTGATAGGAGTCAGAATCGACTTGCCAGTGGTAACAACCACAAGTCCATCTTCTACAGGTTATGTCTAATTGTTGCAGAGTTGGGGCCTCCAACTGGTAGCAGATACTAAGTCAAAGTTCTATTTCCCTGGAGCAGGGGTCTGCAAACTCCATCCCGCCTATGTGCCTTCTTTTTGTGCAGCCCGCAATCTAAGAATAGTTTCTACATTTTTATATGGTTGAAAAAAATCAAAAGAAGAATAATATATTGTAAGAGGTGCAAGTTATACGAAATTTAAAATTCAGAGTCCATATACAAAGTTTTATTGGAACACAGCGATGCCCCTCCATTTATGGATTGTCTGTAGTTTCCTTCTGGCTACACTGGCAGAGTCAAGTAGAGCGACAGAAACCATAATGCACAAAGCCAAAAATTTCAACTACTGGGCCATTTACAGAAAAAGTTTGCTGACACTGAGCTAGAGAATCAGGTGACCCTTAGGGGCTTAACATTGTCTAACAGACAACAGTCTAAGATGACATTAAAATGTCATGTGGCAATCTTTGGGACCCATTTCAAGTTTTGGATAATTTTTGTTAACAAAGGATAGCAAACGTAGATTTGGTGGGTGATCAGGGAAGAAGCCCTCGATGAAGGAAAATATAATCCTGGCAGTGTCTTCTCCATTCTGCTCTTGGAGAATGGTCAGTAGATCCTGTCTTGGTGCCATTTTGTCCAGGGACAAGGCTCTCACCTCACGTCTCCATCTCCTTATGAGTTATCCAAGTCTCCAACTTCTGTTCAGGGTCTTCCATGTATCTGGGGCTGTTGATGGAATGTTGTCCACAGCGATGAGTCAGTGAGAAGCAGGAGTGGTTCACACTGGAAGATACAGCCCATTCTCCTTACTGGAGGTAGTTATGCTCTATAAAGTCACCTCCAACACCGAATTGGCGAATAACGACCCATTGCCTGTAGTGGAAATTAGGTTCCTGCACACCTCTGGTCACAACATTTCATCAATAAACCAATACATCACCTTGTTTTTTGCGTGTTTCTGTTTAAAAAACACCTTATTTAATATATATTACTGATTCTTTCACATTGAAATCACAGCCACCAGCACTATAACTCATGCCTGAATGAAGCTCATTCAATGCACGTATTTTCTCCATAATATCACAGCCTTCCTGTGCTGAGGAACACTTAGCCAGCACTATGCGTGGGACCATTTTAAGTAGTGAAATCACCAACAAAAAGCACAAAAGTGCAAAAAAGGAGGGACCACATAGGCCACAACAAGAGCACTTGTTTACAATATGGGAGCTGAAATGAGAGGGCAGAGTGTTGCCCTATTGGACTTCAGTGAGGAATGTGGGTGATATAGGTGTTGGGTGACTCAAATTTTTCTTGGCCCAGCTTCTGTGGTCATTTGTGGACATGCAGAGTGGTGAAAATTTTGAGTCTCCCAACGCCCACTCCCCCTCCTATCCCCCACGCTTTCCCAAGTCCTAAACTCAAATAGCTTCTGAAGGAAGAAAATTCCTCTGACATTTAGGTTTAGGTCAGACTTTCACCCCTCCAAGGGGAGCCTCTGAGCAGTGCCCAAACAGCACAATCATATGCAATATTGACCCAGTTTTGGTTTTACAGTGGGGTCTGAAGCCTAAGCCTTCACTCTAGTGTAAAGGCACAGGAGTAACCGCCATCGTATCCCTTCTTCTCTCTAGGAATTTCCTCATTGGTTCCTGGCTATCCTTGCCACTTCCCATTCACCTATAAAAACAAGAGTTATTTTAACTGCACTAACAAAGGATCAAAGGAGAACCTTTTATGGTGTGCAACCTCTTACAACTATGACCGGGACCACACCTGGGTGTATTGCTGATGCGAAGGTGAGAGCAGGGACCACACCTGGGGGCATGGCTGATGTGCAGTTAAGATCTGTTCCTTCTAGCATGTCTGATTCGCTGAGGTTCCCAGCAAGGTGAGCTCCATTTCCCAGAGATAAGGTGGAGCTGAGGGGAATATGGGCACAACTTTCCAAATTAGAAGGCTGGAAGAAATTGGGATGGCTCTGTCAAACAGGAGAGCAGTGGGAGGAGGTGGGTGAACTTTTTCAGACCCAGAAAGGTATCATTCCAAGTCTTAAGTCTGGGAGGCTTTGGGTATGAAAGATTAGGAAAGCGGAATTTCGGAAACTGGAGCATGAGATGAAAAGACAACCTCAAAGGGGGATAACCGACACTTCTCTGGTCCCCAGAAGCCATGGCACCATGTTGTTGATCCATTACCCCATCACTGAGTGGCTAACCAAGGAAAAGGTGGGGTTCACTTCTCTTCCTCATCATTTGGGCCCCCTCCCCCACCTCAGGGCATAAGTCAACTATCTCCACAGGACCAACTTCATCCTTCCTTTTTTCTAGTCTTTTCCTTCTGGCTTCAGTATTCTAAATCCTATAGAAATTCTCTCTAGACCTCCTGTATGGATCAACTGACCTAGGCACTCTGTAATTCCGCAATTTAGAAGTAAACAGAAACCCTTTCATCAGATGTGTGGACAACTCTGGTGGCTTTAGCAATATTTGCCCTTATGATGCCCGTGGCTTATGGATGATGCGAAAATTAGTGACTCTTCCTGAAATTTGGCTTGGCAGTGAAAAATGCCAGGGAAAATTATTTTCCCTGAACAGAAGTAGGTTTGGGACTGTGGCTACCTTCTTAAGAGGGTGGATATTATAAAACACCCACAGTGGTCCCCAGTCTGAGGCTAGGACTAAGAACATTTTTAGTGCCCAGCCTCCAACTTCTATCCATCGGAGCAGAACTATCTTCTGGCAGGTCCCTTTCCCACCAAACCTACTACAATAGAGGTGAGGTTGAAATACTTACTGGTCCTTGACTTACTTGCTCCCACGAGCCAGGTGAGGGGCAGGGGTGTCTGCTCTTGGCTCAGCTGCTTCATCTTACTTTTGAGTCTTGAAAATCAATACAAAGTCTCTTTTTTTAATTCACATTATATTTTGAGTCAATGCATACCTATTACCTGAAAGCTTGGCTTTTGATTCTGTTTTCAAAGGGAGGAGAAACATCTTCAGAGGAAGACTGACATATTGAGTCTGGAACCTGCTTCATCTTTTTCATCACATCTTTCGAGCTCTGATAATCACCTTTAGAAATACCCTGTCCACTATCTTGCTTAGTCAGTTGGTTCTTTGTGAAGAACAGAGGGAAAATGTGGCATAACCACCAATAAAGGAGCCCAAAACTAACTCTGCGGCTGTCTTTCCTGCTTCCTAGAATGAGAGATCTGAGGGATCTGAATGTCTAGTAAAGGAAATGTTGGTGATTGGGTTGGTGATTGGGCTGGGGAGTCTCATGGTGGGGAGATCAAATTCTCAGCCTAGCGATGCTTGGAAGTAATTGCAGCCTCCTATCTCTTTCTGGGAAATCACAGACTTGGGTGGAGCATTTGTAGATACTTATTAAATCATTAATAAATAAATTAGTAAGTAAATGGAGGGTAGAAAATTCATTGCAAGACTGCCTCAACTATTCCTTCCCTATGCCCATGACAGACATCAATAATTGATTACAGAATCTGTTTCCCTGTGAACCCAGATGCAACATCATATTGTCGTTCCCCTTCTCCCTTTCCTCCTCCTCCTCCTCTTCTTTTTCCTCTTCCTCCTCCTTCTAAATAAAACACCGAGCACCTGCTACCACTATCCCTCAGACATCCAGGATAGATTTTAGCTGTTCAGCCTCAGTCAGGACCAATCTGATTGTCAAATTAAAATGATGTTGCCTAGACATGTGAGCAGGCTGAAGATTTCATGGTAGATCTTTTCCACTTTAGCTCATGAACAACCAGAGGAGACATCCCCGCTTAATCACGTACAAAAACGCCTAGGAAGCATAGTTCTCCCATTCCCAGATCCCACATGGCCTTCCCTTGTTTAGAGCCTTCCCTCATCTCATTTTCTACTTCGGCCCACCCCCCCACACACTCATTACGCTCAAGTCGCCGCTCTGTTCCTTGAGCTCCCCAAGCTCACTCCAGCCTCTGCGCCTTGTTGGGCTGGAGTTGTCCTCCTCCTTGTCCTGCTGTGGGTCTCCTCCTCCCTTCCTTCAGTCCCTGCTGAAGTGCCCTGTGATGGAGATGGAGATGTGCCACCAGATCTCCCTTCCACAAAGGACTTGCCCTGCTCTGGAGAGTGCTGTCTGCAGGCAGCCTTCAGTGGTCAGCCCCAAATCAGAGAGGTCCTCAGCTGCAGAGTGGCCTCCCTCGCCCAAGATCATGCCCTTCCCAGAGCAGTCCATATGCAAGGACTTACCAACAGTGGGTTTAAAGACCTGGCCACGTAAACCAAAGTGAGATAACTCAGAAGAGATATGTCAAGAGCTCTTGTGGGTTCTATTGAGGTTGTTAAGCTTGCACGGCCTTCAGCTTTTCCCTCTGCCCAATCCTAGTTCCTTCCCCCAGCATTGATCCCAAGGACACTCTTTGATAACCCTCCTGCACGCTCCTCTGTACTCTCAGAGGAGGAACCCTGGGAACCCAACCTGAGACAGCCCGTCTTTAAGAAATGCCCTTTCTGACCATTCTGGCTAATTCAGCCACCCTTGCCCCTTCCCCTAATTCTCCTGGTATCCAATCACCCCACTTTCTCTTCCTCAAAGTAGTCACCCCAACTTGAGCTTCTCTTAAGTGATTATTTTTTTTCTCCTCCCCTCACACTGGACTGTAATCTCCAAGAAAGCAAAGACCTTATCGCTGGGCTGTCTCCAGGACCCAGAATAATCCCAGGCTCATAGCACAAACCTGTGTTGTCCAATACAGTAGCCACTAGCCACATGGGGCTATTTCAATTTAAATTTAACTTAAGTAATTCATAAAATTAATCATTTATTAATAATACATCATTGGCTTAATAAAATAAAAATAAAAGAAAATTCAGTTTCTCAGCCTCCCTCACCACGCTTAATACTCAATAGCCAGTCACGTGTGGCTAGTGGCTGCCATAATGGATGGTGCAGATCTAGAACATTTCCATCATTGCAGAAGATCCTATTGGATTGCATGGTTCTAGAATATAAGCTCCTTGAGGTCAAGTATCTTATTATTGCTCTATTTCCATCATCTGGAACAATGCCAGGCATATAGTAGGGATTCAGCCAATAGTATATTGAAAAGGTGAGTGAATAGTGGATGGGTGGGTAGTTGAGTGAATAGTGGATGGGTGGGTAGTGAGTGAATAGTGGATGGGTGGGTAGTTGAGTGAATAGTGGATGGGTGGGTAGTGAGTGAATAGTGGATGGGTGGGTAG